GACAGCAGGTGCTTTGGGAAAGGAGCTCTGGATGGACCACAGGGGGACTTGGAACGAGTCAAGACCCTGAAACTGGGGAGACCAAGGAGGTGAGGGGCTTGGGTGGAGGGGACTGAGCAAGGAGGCTGCCGCCTGTCCTTAGCTGTGCTCCCCATGTGGGTGACATGTCTCATGTTGCCTCAGGGGGCAGCTGCAGCAGCAGTCAGCCTGTGGCCCTGAGGGCCCTGAGGAGGCAGCATACAAAAAGTAAGAACCAATGTCAGGAGCCACAGAACAACAACATTTTAAGAAATCTGATTAAAAAGAATACAAAAGTGACTCCACAGAGAGGGAGGAAGAACTCCCACCCCTTCTACGTTTTTGTCCCCTCTTGCTGTCCCAAATGACAAGAATCACTTTGAAGGAATTTTGCTTGTTTGTTTCATGATTTGGCTGCTTCACTTGCGATATCTCTTCCTTGGCTCGTCTCCTTCAACTGACTTCATTTTTTAAAAAGCACCGACTTTACAGATGTGAGGCTGCTGAGTCGTAGCCTCCTGTGGGAGTGTGCATGTGTGTGAGTGTGTGCATGTGCGTAGTGGCTGTCTCTTTTTCTCCTGCCCGCTTCAGTCCAAGCCTCCAGGTCCCATATCCTACGTGCTGGAAGTCTTATGGGAGCACCGTGTTGGCACTAAGGTGAGAGCTTGGATCAGCCTTGCACCCTGGATTTGTGGAGCATCTCCCTGCCCGGCACAGGGCCAAGCTCCCCATTAGCTACATAGCTTGCCCGTCTCATACTCCACAGGATTTGGCAGCTTTGAATTGAAAGCCCTCAGAGAAGACTGGATCCTGCCCACCTCATTGTTAGCCAGCTTGAGCCGATGCCGGAGCAAACAAGAGAAAAGGTCGAGCCGGACTTTGCCAGGTGGAGAGAGTTGGTTCACCCGGTCCCTCAGCTCAATGAGCTGTAGAAGGGCAGAGTCCTGGGAACCTTGAGTGTATGGGTAGTCCAGCTGGAGAATTAAATCCCGGATAGCATCCGGGTCAAAGGGCAGGCTATAGCCAAAGACCTGCAGGGTATTGATTTTCATATAGCCCAAATTCTTGGAGGGATCAGTCATCTCCAAGGGTTCATAGTAGATTGTCTCATTGGAGCTGTCATCCAGGGACTTGATTCGGCTCCGTAGGTAAACATGGACTGTCTCAAAGAAGGTCTTCCACCTGTTGCCCAAGGTGATAGTCCAGTTTTGGCACTGGGCAGCCGCATCCACATTCGTCCTTTCCCAGTCTGGGAAGTTGCCCTCATTTACGGGCATGAACCAGCTCTCAGAGTGGCTGCCCCCAAAGGGGTTGACATAGATGGCCATGACAGGCTCCAGGGTGCTGTTCTTGGTGAGGCAGATCTGCAAGGACAAGGCCAACATCACATGCACCAGCCCAGGCTTATACTTGTTGCTCTTCAGAGTGAGGAGCATGCGCTTCCTCCAGGAAGGGTCAAACCAGCTGCCTAGGCGCATGTCATTGCTGATAAAGATGGAGTGGACCTCAATGCGGCTGTCCCGCTTCTGTAGCAGGTACTTCAGCTCCAGATCCTGTAGGTCTGTCTCCAGCCCAAGAAAGTTCTCCAGGGACTCAGCCACCTCTGGCCTGCACAGCCCCTGGGCCAGCACGTAGCCTGGGTTACAGCTCCCACAGCGCGTGCTGTTGTCTGGAGCACAGTGGGCACATGCAGGGCCTTCTCCCAAAGCACATGGGATGAGGCCCTGGCAGGACGATTGGTCATAGGGGCAGGTACAGCTGTGGCTCTGCTCTAGGAAGGTGCCAGTGAAGGTGCTTTCTCCACAGTAGAGGAGAGACTGGATTCGGTTCCACCAGTAGGACAGTGACCTTGGGAAGGGGGATAAAGGTGAAACATGAGTCAAGAGACGTTACCTTTTACCATTCTTGCCTTTGTAGCACATTGACTAGGAGGCAGGGAAGATAAAAGCCTCAAATTCTCTGAATGATGGAAATGTTACTGGTCTGTTTTAGACAGACTGAGTAAAGCCTGAAGCTCGGTGTCTGATGGATCAATCTAGAAATTTTCAACATCAGATTTCTACTAGAAAGAACCAGGCTCATTTGCCCTGGGTGCTGTTTCATTCTCTCTCAAATGTGTAGGACCTCCAATGTCACATTTCAACCTTTTATATGAGACAGCTTTCCAAACACTCCAACTCCTTGCTAACTTTATTCTCTTGTCAAGATCTCTCTCCTTTGTATTTTCTCCACTTCTATCACTCATCCACCAAGACAAGGAATTTCCTATGGGAGAGTCTCCAATTTTATTTCAACTCTTATGTGGACCTTTTCAAAGAGCTCTTTCATGATGTTCTTCTTCAAAGAACCACTCTAGTCCTTCTCACATCACCTTGTTTTGTTTCAATCCACAACTATGATATCGAAAGCATTGTGCTTACTTATCGTTGACTTGTTTGTAGACTGCCCCCCTGAAAATGTCCGGAACAGGGTACTGTATCATTGACCAGCATATTCTCGGAGATCAAAATGATTTCTGGTGCAAGGTAGGCATTTAATAATTAATTACTGAAAAATGAATGAGCTCCTCTGGAAAACCACTGCTGGCCTGTCCTCTGCACTCATACTTTCCCTACAGCTATAGTTGCACTTCAGGATCACTGTGAAGCCAGTTCCCTGGCCTGGAATATGGCCTCACCTACATGTATCAGAGCACTGTTGTAGCTTCATGCACAATGCAACCAAGACGTCTTCTCCAAGGGTCCTTTATTCTCTAGCCTTCACCTCCTGAAGCCCACCCCCTTGATTTCTTTTCTTCTACCATGAATTTAGTCCATGCCACATAGCTATGATTTTTGTAGTTTTTATGTTTTCTGTATGTTTGCTAAATGCTCCCTGTTCAATAATATCTCTTACAGCTAAATATTAGGACATGGAACATAGATGTATGAAAACTTGTTGGATGAATGAAAGAATGAATATAGCCCTGCTTTGTCCTTGAGAGCATAGGTCTTAAGTTTTCCTCTAATGACCCAGAACAGAGAAAATCTGTTATATATATTTCTCATACTGTACAGTTAATGGAAGCTTTAACTCCACCCCTTTATTCCCTAAGAAACTTAAGCAATGGACATGCATAAGTTAAAATGAGAGTAGCATTTGAATCTGTTATATTTAGATATAAACAAATGCACTTCTTTGTCTTTTCTCTCTCATTTCAGAGCAGCTCTCTATTGAGAAGGATGGGTGTGAATAAGGGAGGGTCAGGGGAACCAGAAGGGCCAAGTGAGCCACCCCTGTGTGCTCTGCTGTTGGGGTAGGTGGGTACCTGACCTCAAGGCTGCTGCCCCGGGGGTGCAAAGCGGAGTTCATGCTCACCTCTCCTTGGGCAGGCGGAAGCGAGGCTGCCGATGGCAGCGTTTGCAGAGATTGAAGAGACGGCGGACGATCCGATGTGTCTTCTTGAACAGTAGTTTCAGGCTGGCTCCCAGCTGCTGGTATCGGTGCTGGAGGCTGGTGTCCATGGTCCAGAACTGGGAGATTGCTGTGGAGTTCAGGAACCGATCATCGGGCAGTCTTTTCAGCAGGGCCTGGAACTCTTCTGTGGGCAAGAACACAGGAGCTTAGCAGAGGGGCAGCAGTGTGGAGGCCTGGGAGGACAGCTGGGTAGTCCCCGGATGGAGGGCCCTTCAGAATCTTTATGAGGTAGGAAGCCCTCCTGTCTTGGGTTCTTTTTACTTTCACCGATAGTTTCATTGAGAAATAATTAACATACTACAACATGTAGCCTCAGGATTTTTTCCATTCTTCCTGTTTTGATGAATCCCTAAATCTCAAAACAGGTTTTTGTCACCACCAAAAAGCCAGAATTCCTGGTTTTGCTCATGGCCTTGGGATACATCCCTTTATAGTCCCTTATAAGGTTCTCTGTCACACGGTCTGAGGCCAGTCGTCTTCAATAATACCAGGACATCTGAGAAAAGAATTAAGTTGCACACTGACACACAAACATGGGCACATGCAGGTGCAGCACCCAGCCCAGAAATCCATAGAAACATGTCACTCTCTGAAATCTCACCCTCCTTCCATATCCTTCTGACTCTCTGCAATACTTTTAATCTCTTCCTTTGTCAGTCAGATATCCATTCTTTGCAGTAGTAATATAGACCCAGTCAATGTGTTTCCTGGTTCTATGTCTGAGTCCTTCTTAGAACTTCCTGAGTATGCTCTTTTCTGAACTCATGCTCAGAGTCATCCTGAGGTCATGTTCTAGATCATATCCCACCCTCATTAGTCCAAAGCTTGGGTAAAGACAGTTAGAATGTGATATTCTTCTTACTGATCACCATCAACCTATTAGTTCCCCTTTTCCATAGACAAAGAAACTGAGACATTGAGAAGCTGCATGACTAATCCAAGAACATAAAGCTGGTCTCTAAGAGGGTAAGGTTATAGACCAATTCTCTGGGATCTATGTCTCAAGATAACATAGGTGTCATTATAACCACAACAGCTGGCTTCCACAGGTGCCACCAAGACTCATGCTTCATTTACACACTTTTATCAAAAACTTTATGCGCAAACATTGTTCAAGGCACTGTGGAACCTGTAGCAGACAAGACAGACAAAAGCTATGCCCTCAGTGATGTTTGCTCTTACTAAAATCCATAATCACACATATTATGTGGATATTATGCTTGTTTATATAAAAAGAAGACCCAGCCACCTGGGGATCTGGTTAGTGATATAACCTGCTCAAAGCCACAGAAGTAGTAAGTGTCTATGGTGGAGTCCAAGCTCAAATCCCAAGTTCTTGCCTTGCACTGTTTTGGCTGGAGGAATTTGGGGCCAGCCAGCTGCTCACCTGACTCCTCAAACTGCTGGTTGTGTGTGGCCCAGGAGTCCTGGATCTGCAGCAAGCTGTCCTCCATGGCCTGGATGTCGGTGTCAGGGCAATTGCATTCTGGGAATGTGGGGCTGCACTTGCACCAGCAGTCATTCTCTTTGCAGACCAGCTCACCCTCTGAGCTGCACGTGATGTAGCTGAGTGCTGCTGCCACAAAGCGCTCGCGCAGGTACTCAGGCAGCAGGACCTGAAGGCCTGAAGAAAGGATGCACTGAGGGATAGATGGGTGGAACCAGAGGGGGCTTTGTTTCCCACACCCAAGGCTGCAGGAATCCTAGTTGAGGTTCTGCTGCCTTGTGTCTCCTGGGCACAAGAACAGTCACCCAGCTTGGTCTCCTCCTGCTAAATTGGTTGGGAGAGAGGGTTATTCCTGCCCTAGTGACAGATGAGGAAGGTTCTAGAAGTGCAGATGAGAAATATCAAAGCCCAAGACTTACCTGAATTCCCCACTTCATCCAAACTGAGAGCATGACTGTCATAAGAACAGGCTTATTGGCTACACATCAGCATTTTCAGAATGGAAACAGGAAGTTGTTTTGGATTAAGTAACAGATTACAGCCCACTTGGGGGAGGAATCAAGACTTGATGGCTTCATGACTGCCCACAGCAGTCCTCCTATCTCCAGCTTAACTGAGATATGCAGCTAGGATGCTACTGACCCTCCTGGACCTTCCAACTCAACTCTGACCACTGAGAACAAGAACACTGCCTGAATTAGAATGTAGGATATTTAGTGACCAGAAAACATGCAAGGTACTCTCTATGTGTGACTCTAAGTTAATACTCATCAGATGTCACCCTGAGGTTCATATAGGCAATGCAGACCATGCCCAAAGACCAAGTACTTGCTCCACAGCACTTGTTGAGTTTGTTTGCCTGTTCTACTCCTGCCAAGTCACACTGCATTCCCAGAAATGGATGCTCTATCTCAGTGGGATTAGATCTTCAAGAGGTTTGAAATTAGGATGGTAGCCAATGCCTCAACATCAGTCAAGCCTTGAGAGTTATGAATGGCTTTCTGCTGTCTTTTAGTTGCTTCGTATATTCTTGGATATAATATACCGAAGTACTCTGAGCTTCAATTTTTACACCCATCTCGGGTGAGTGTCCCCATTTGCTAGGAACAGAACATGGTTCTAGTTGGCTGCGGGACACATACAAAGCAGCTTTCAGAAGCTTACCAGAGGATGAATGAAGAATAGACATGGCATTGGATGTAGTTGCGGCCATGTTTGAAGTCATACCTATAGGAAGCTCTATGAGTAGCTGCATTGAAGACCTCATGCCAGAAGAGTGAGGATGGGGGGTTTGTGAACATAGGCCTCTCTCTCCTAAAAAGTATGCTTGCCCTTTATTTCCATAACCTTCGCCTTGTCTCTGGCAGGGAACCAAAGAGCTCAAAGTGTGACATCCTCATCAAGACAGATCTTAAACTGCACCCTAAAATCATCAGCAATGGTGCATGTGTGTTGTTCTTGCATGAGGCCTACCTCATACTCTGCATTGCTTCTGAGCTCTTCTCTCGGCCTTGATCCAACCATAGCCTTGAGGAGCCTTCCCCACAGCCCTCCCCACAGCCCTCTCCACATGTTTGGTTGCAATTCTTCCCCTCTCTAAGTATTTTCCTTCCACTTGCTTCCCCTCCCTTTCTCATGCCCAGAACATTTTCCATTGCTATAAAATAAATGCCCTGAGCAAGGTCTGCATGAGTGATGGGCTATAAAATTAAACAACATAAACTATTGCAAATGAACCATCACACATTTTGAACTTCACTCATCACTAATTTGCAGACAAAAACCCATCACATCCAGGGCCACAGGAGAAGAGAGATGCTAATTGTATTAGGTAGTTCTAAATGAAAGACTGTTTTACCCTTCTGTGTAATACACAGAAGGGTAAAATACTTGATTCCTAAAGTACTACTGGGTTGCGTTTGACTCAGGTTGCCTGGAATTTGTAATTATAGATCATCGGTGAAAACTATTGATTTTGTAATGCGGAGACAATAATATCTTAAGTAGAGTCCAATTCAGTTAGGCTTTAAGAAAAATAAACTTTCCCTACTGAATCAGTTAGCACAGTCCTTCTTTAAATGTTTGGGAAACGTAACATAGCAGGAGATGTGTATGAGCCACTATCTCCCAGCCTTCAGACCTAGTGTGGGTTCCTACCCTTTTTCTTTCTGTTTTTTCTTTCTCTGTATCTATCAAAAGGCTCCTGTTCATTTCAAAGTCTTATCCTGGCTTTGAAGTTTCTTATGGGAACCACAGACTAATAGCAGAAAGCAGGGCCACTTTCAGGGTGTGGTTAGAGTAACCAGTGGCCCCAAAATTTATAGATCTCCTGTTTGAACTAGATTTGGTGAAGTTGTGATCACTCTGCAGAGGCCATTTAATTTCAGTGAGACTTCAAGTAATGGCAGAAGACATTTGGATAATGGAGAATGTCACTGAACTAGTCCAAGGCTTCTAAGGACAGATGTGCTGCTCCTTATAGGACAGTGTCCTTGAGAAAGATTATGAGACAGGAGGTTTTAGGTGCCAAGAAGAGCTTTGGGCATAGGGAAACCACAGAAATTTTCTCAAGACAATGACAGAAAGTTGTTACACATAGGTACCAGAACATGCCATAGGGCTGATCTTGAGATGGGTTTAACCAACTGGGAAGGCAGGGCTTTTCCATGCTCTTGGATGATCCATGTCTCCCTCCCTCCAGCAGTATGCAGCATGCAAAGCATAAAGAGCTACTTACCCAGTAACTGCACTTTGTTCTCAGGACTCTGCACCAGGACAGAGCTGACCGAGTCCAGATTGTCATAGTTGCTACAGCCCAGAGGACCGGTCCTGGTCTCTGTGACCTAGAAAAGGAAGGAGTAGGATACAGTTTTAGAAAACAAGAGGAAGCTTTCCCTCTGCCCTTCTCTGCTCTAGTGGTGGCTCCATGTCTCATCCTGGCCAAACCAACAGCATGTGATTTTTCCCTAACCTCAGAAGCTAAGTCACTTTGCTTGTCCCATAATTGTAAATATGTGCGACACATGTCTGGCAGCACAGGTGTACACCTGTAGGAGTCTTTCAGCCACAGCTGAAGAGAATCTGTGACTGGGAAGAGAAAGTTGAATGTAGGGAGACAAAGCCGGAAGAGTGAGACCTTTGGGTGAGAGGCAGCCCCTTTCTTTCCCCAGAGGACTGCAGAAGACCAGATGTGGTCCCTCGGCCCTGCTGGCAAACCCAGCTGTATCCACTTGATGTGATGCTCACAGGCTTCAGGGATCCTGGAGATGAAAAGCACTAGAGAAATATGAATTATGAGTATTATTATTAGTATTAAACATTTAAGTCCCACCTCGGCACTGAGATGTCCTTAGAGAAAATCAGCCATGGGCTTACTGCATATTTTAATAACTATATTAAATATACATAAAGTCTTATAGCCATGTAATATTCCAAAACACCAGAGTCATTTTAAAATATTATAAAGTTGGCCCATCAGTTTTCCCTGATGTTTAAAGTATAAGATGAAAAATGGGGAACTTTAAATGCACTGAAATAATTATGTAATAAGAATGATGGGGACCTGAGGCCCTTACTTCTCAGGATTTTTTAAGTCTTTGCCAACAATCAATCAACCAATCAACGAGTATTTATTGAGCAGCTGCTGCTCGATTCCACACAATTCATCAAACATTCATAGAGTGCCATTCTGCAGTTCTTCAAGAAAGTCTACCCTGATACCCCTGGCCTCCTTTCCTAGCTGCAGGCACCTCTCTGCCTTGCAGCAGGCATGTGAGCTGCAGTTTTGCATCCTTCTGGAGCATGCAATTCATGTGTTCATCCACATGGTACAGTCTCCACAGAGGTCCACTCGTATTTGTTGTGCTGGCTATGGTGTCATGAGGAGCTAGGACAGTGTCTGCCATACAGTAGAATCTCAGTGAGTTAGACAGCATGTGATGGATGCGTTCTAGACTGCTCAGGGTGGGGAGGTGCACACAGAGATGTACAAGTTACATAGTGAACCCTCTAGGGAGCCAGGTACATACACAAGTGACTGTTAGACACCCCCATCATGACGAAAAATGTGTTACAAGGAGCACAGAGGAAAGAATGGCTCCACACAAAGGGAAAATGGGAGAAATAATAAAGGAAATGCCATCATTAAGGATCAGAGGGAAGTGGGACAATAAAAAAGGTAGGGGAATCTACTATGAAGAAAAAAGAAGGGCAGCAAATCTAAAGCCCAAGACATGACCTGAAGCATGGGACATGTGTCCAGCATCCTGCCAGTAGCTATGGAGAATACCTATGTGCAAGTGACATTACTGAGAGATTTGGTTGGGAAACAAACATGGAACAAAGTATTTTAGTGAAAGATGGTATGGTAAAAATGTGGAGAGAGTGGGTGGGGAGAGAGAGTAAGGGGGGAGGGACAGAGGGATTGAAGGAGGGAGGGAGAGAGAGAATATATTCTTAGAGTTTAAAGTAGTCTGAAAAGTTTAATGGACAAGGTGAGCCATAAATTGGTCCATTGAAAGATGAGTAGAGAGAGAGGACATTTGTGGAGGTGATTCTAGACAAAGACCATAAATACCATGCCTGAGAAGCAGCAACACCAAACTCAAGAGAAGAACACAACCAAGACCAAGACACCAGCAAGGATGCCTGCTATGTTTCCGTCCCATTGGACCATCACAGAAACTTTCTAGGATAAATTTCATGATCAATGCTCCTCAAAAAGGAAGCCAAGGCTCTGAGAATTATAGTGCTTGAGACCACAGAGCTTTTTTTTTTCTTTTCTTTGTACAGGGTATCAAACTCAGAACCTTCCACTTAGCAGGCAGGTGCTTATGCTGCTGAGCTGTTTCCCAACCCATCGAGCTTTTAGATAGCAAAAAAAGGGTTCTAACATTTGTGTCCTCAGAACCCAGTTTAGCACTTTTTCATCTCCCAAAAAGGCAGGTCAAAGGGCTACAGAAATAAGGAGAACTTATGCCCCTTACACTTACCCTTGTCTAAAGACAAAAAATTTTAAACATACCAGTCTACTATATACTAACAGTCAACATATACTAATGATCTGTCCTCTCTTCAAAGTGTTAATATGGCACAAAACAATCAGTTGTGACTTGAAATATATATTGTAATCCTTGCGTTACAGAGACAAAAACCAATCCAGATGGGCAAAGTGACTTATTCAAGGACATACAGCTAGACATCTGCAGGACTAGGATCCATCAGACTTCCTCTTTCATTCCATTATCTGTTTATTTGACAAGCATTCAAGGAATATCAAGAACTCAAAACTTAATAAGACATAGTAATTGCCAGTAAGGAGCTTGTAGACAATGGAAACAGCTCTCTAATCCCACTTCTCTGGCTACTCCCCTGGGTCTGCCTCTCCCAACATGGGGCTACTACTATTGGCTGCTGAGTAACACTTCTTCCCGAGTGAGTCTTTGGGTAGCTGTTAGACAGAGCCAGTCTTACTTCTATCTCTATGTGATGTGAAAATCCCTGTAAAAAGGCTATTGACAAGAACTAGCCCACCAATTCTATGGAAGCCTGTTTCTCTTGGGGTGGGATATCCTGAATGCTGGGGTAGGATGGTGTGGCATGCATGGGAAATTAGGCTGTTCCCTGAAGACTAGACTCCAGGGAAGCTGGCCATCAAAATATTACTAAGTTTTACACTAGCTGTCCACCTACCTGCCCTTGACTTTGTCATTTGCCAAGTGTGTTCATGCAGGGAGGAAGATACAAGCTCTATGTGGGAGAAAGATGGGTCCCAGAGAGGAGGGTAGGGCAGAAAATAACATGACAGGACCTCTCCTGTTTTCTCCCTCACTCCCACCCCTCTCCCTACCCACCACCACTCCACACTCTACCATCTTGTTCGAGGTTCTGAAGCTGGCTTTGATGGTTGATTTTTTACTCTGCTATTTCCAAAGGTCAGTTCTCTAAGAACACAATCATGTAGGTCACTGAAAGTGTGAGTAGCTTTCCTTTGTTAAATGTGGCCAAAGATAGGAATGAAGAAGGGACAAAGACCTTGCTTGATCTTCTGTGCTCTTTTCCTGACAGAAAGATCTGAAGCTAGATCTCCATGAGTGAGGACATCTCACTCAGCCTTCACAGCCGCAGATCCCACAGTCACAGCTGTTTGCATTGCTGTTCTCCTCTGAGACTATCTCTCTCCCTCCTACACAGGTAAGGAGGAGGGAAGCAGAAAGGCAGCTGAGCAGGCTTCCCACTGGCTTACAGCAAAAGCCTGGCCTTAAGAAGAGAGTAGGGGATGGCTTGAAACTGCCCCTTCCTCTACCTGGAGTGAGGAAACCCCAGAGTCCACAAAGGATCTGTTGAGAGAATGTAGTGGCTTTCCCCAAAGAAGAGGCAGACGGCTCAGGAAGATGATTATAAAGACGGCCACAGAGGTAATGGAAAGTGCAGTTCACTCAGGCGCACATGTTCAAAGAGAGCTTCAGATAAGCTTCCAGAAAGGGGGAATAATTGTGTGCTAATTGGTCTGTTGACAGAGCCCATCCTGTCTTCAGAAAGCCCTGATGGAGCTCAGGTTCATTAGCACTTCCACTTTTCCATAAATACCAGATTGTGCAAAGCCTTGTTCTGGAAAGCCTCCCCTGCCATCACTTCCAGAGAGCTCTTGTCCTACCTGGGGGAGGACACCTGCATTGCCAAGAGCAGAGGGAGATGGGATTCTAATTGTGCATGATGGGACTGAGCTCAGAGTGTACCGCGGATGGCATATATGCTTACAGGGCTGCAAAGTAAACCCCAGCCACAGTGATGAGGAATTCCCGAAGGCCATTTTTAGGATGCTTTGTAAGAAGTGCTGTCCAGAAGCCGCTCTTCAGTTAGCTCATGAGCATTTCGAGCCCTCCCCTGTAAGTCATTTTCTGCCCTTAGTGTAAGTAGACAAAATAAAGGGTGGGCTATAACCAAGAAAAAGGTCCCCTTCTCCTGTTTTGGCCCCTGTCCTTCCAGAGCATTGCAGACAAGCTGTCTGTGAACAGCCCTTTATAGTTTGCAAAGTGTTTTTACACGGTCTATATCATCTGGTAAATCATCAGATTCAGGGGTAGGCATTCACCATAACTTCCATCATGTCCAACAGAAGTGCATTCATCAGAAGAGACAGCAGCCATATTGTCCAGGCAGGGTTCTGAAGACCTCTTGAGGTGCCTTTGCCCTGTAGGTGTTCTCAGATAATCTTAAGGGTTCATGGGATGGAGGGTAAGGGTGGGCAGGGCAGCCATAGTGGCTTAAAGTATACAGAAATGTTTTAATTTTTTTTAAATGGGAAGAGGTGTGTTAGCTTCTGTACTATGCAAGTCATGTGTGCAGATGGGCCAAGTAGTTGGCTACTCAGGTCATGGAGGAGAAACATGGAGTTCAACAACTCCTCAAGGTCATAGAAATAGTTAAGAATCAAGGCTGCAACCTAATCCTGAGTCTCCTCGGTTCAGTAAGTTTATTTCCTGCTAAACCTAGTAGTGCCTGCCTGTGCTTTTCAAGCATTTTATTGAGCACTGTGCCACATGCCAGGTGCTGTAAAGCGTCCTGAAGCTACGTGCATGCTGCAGAGTGCCTGCCCCTCTAAGGCCTACTGCCATGGTGAGGTAGAGAGGGTGGGTAGCTGCATGAGAGCCACTGAAACGCAATGTGGCAAATCCTATAATAGAAGTGTGTGCCAATCAGAGTGAGCCTTGCAACAGCAAGCAATATTCAATGGGGGCCCCAGAGGAACATGTCAGATAAATGAATGACAGGGGGAAGGGTACCTCTTTGTCTATGTTTTTTTTTTGTTTGTTTGTTTTTTTTGTTTGTTTGTTTGCTTTTT